CGGAGGGATCGAAGGCGAGAGAGGGAGAAAAAGAGAGAAAGAGAAAGAGAGAGAGAGAGAGAGAGAGAGAGAGAGAGAAGGGAGGGAGGAAAGAGAGAGAGAGAGAGAGGGAGAGAGAGGGAGAGCTCGGAACAAGAGAAAAGACGCTTGCGGCCGGGAGCGAGATGGGACGTAAATTTTCTACTAGCGGTGCGTTCATTTGTTCGTCGAACGAAATGCGAATGCATTATACATGGATTGCAGGGGACATTAATTTTCTGCCGTGGACGTGTAGTGGGCCGCGCGCGGCAGGGCGGCAGCAGGGCCGTGTGCCGGACCGGGGCCGGGTTGCGGGGGTGGTCGAGCGCAGGGGGTGGATGGCCATCCACCCGGTATATAACATACAGCACGATCGGGGGTTGCGGGACGTGAGTGCGCACCACCGGTCAGGCCGAGGTGGTGGAAAGGTGGAAAGGAGGGTGGCGATTCCACGGGCTGTTTCGTGCTCACACGTCCAACCACGTGCGAGCTTTTGCCGGGTTTTCTCTACCTACTTTTCGCGAGCCCGGTGATTTTGACGAGTGGAGCGGCGAGATGTATCGCCGCGGCGATAAAAAAGAAGAAAAAAAAGGAGGCGAAAGGATTACGCGAAATCGCGTCCCGGCGAAAACGCGAGATCTCGCACGCTCGCGAAAAGAGAGTCCGCGACCGGGCGCGGCTCAACATCAAAGGGTCGAGAGCAGCGAAAGGACGAACGGGGTGGGAAATCATTGGACGTTCTGTCAGAGGTGTTTAATATTCCGAAAATGATTTGTGCGAACGCCGCAACGCAGGAGGAAGAGCGACGGTGTGAGAGGAAAGGTTCGAGAGTGAGAGAGAGAGTGAGAGAGAGGGTCGGAGGGTGTTGGCAGGGTTGAGGCAGGCAGGCAGGCAGGCAGGCAGGCAGGCTGAGCGAGCAGGGTGAGCGAGAGAGGGAGAGAGAGAGTGAGAGAGAGAGAGAGAGAGAGAGAGAGAGAGAAAGAGAAAGAGAGGAGGGAGGCAGCTCGAGGGTAGTAACCGTACGTCAAAATTAAATGTTGAAATTCGTGTAGAATGTCTGGCGCGATAAATTCGTTCCTGCAACAATGATCACGATTTTTAATGGAATGAAATTGAAATTGTCCGGGCTCCGAAATGACGGCTAGAATTTATGGCTTGCGTGAAAATATGACGCATGGCAAATATTATATTTTACCTGCCTATACGGCTCTAGGACGATATTTCGAAATATTAAAGCGCGTGACATATTAAGAAGAATGCACGATTGATTATTCTCGAAATTGTAAATTCCATCAGTCGTGGAAATCGCAGCCTGTCTCCTCTCCCGTCTCTATCTCTGTCTAGCTCTCGCGATAATTCGTTCGCTTGTTAGCATTCGGCATCGCCGTAAAAACGCATCGCGTTTCGTCACGTCAACCGGACATCTCCGGACTTTCGCCGAGAGAGCGAGAGGAGAGTCGCGGTGAGAGGAAAGAACGCCGAATGTGCGACCGAACGGATGCCCGGCGAAGTGCACCGATTCATCAAAAGTTCTTTACAATTCTTGCACTCGACAAAGGGTCTCTCAAAGAGTCCGGGGGCGAGACCCTTCTACGAGGCGACCTCCGGCAATCCCCCTTTTGCCCCCCCCCCTCCCCCGCCCACCAATCTCCCGCCCGCCCGCCCGCTCGCTCGTTCGCTCATCGTTCCCATCTCTCGTTCTTCCGTTTCGCACGCGAGATTTTAAATTTAATCATAACTCTTCGCGCCGCTCCGCACGATGCCACGCAAATTATTACGAATAGGAGGCTATTACCGCAACGAATAATTATTCAACTGCGCCGAAAAAAGAATACGCGAACCCCCAATCCCCACTGGAGGCTCCGCTACCGCGGGGGTCATCGATCCTCGAGACTGCATCATTGATAGGCCACCGCAAAGCACAGTGTTGTCGCATTGTGCTCGCTTACGAAATTAAGCCGCGCGGAGCCCGATAAGAATTGAAGAAAATATCGCCCCATTAACGCGCGCCGCTTTATTATACATAAACGATCGTGTTTTCCATTACGCATTTAGCCGGCTAATTCCTTCGCGAATGACACGGTCGATTAATCGACAACGAGGCGCTAAAAAATGAATGCCAACCGCACGCTCGAAATACCAACGTTGAATACACACGCATACGCGCGCGCGCGCTCGTTTTATCGCAACGTTAAAACGTTGCGTGAGTAAACTCTCCCGTTTAATACAACGCGCATCGACGAGAACGCGTGCGATCGCGCGTACGCGCGGCGTACATAGTACGCGGCGTTTATCGCGTAATAGTGTGTGGCGGGTGAGCTGACTGTTTTCATAGAAACGGGTGAGCCGGCCGAGTCCGGTCCCGTTCTATGTCATTATCTCCCTTTTATGAACTAAGAAGGAGCGAAGTATTGCACTGTAAGCTCCCTTCTCGCTGCGTTTGCTCCTACCGTCGCTTCCGCTCAAGCGCGACGCGCACAAAAAAGGTGAATATTACGTATGTGCGAGCGTACACGTGGACGAGCTCATCGGTTCTACAAATAAATGTTTCAACCGTCAATTAAGGGCCGACAATAAGAAAGCAGCCGGACCTTCTACCAGCCGAGGTCGCCGTATTAATATGTTTTTAATTGTAGCGCGGCAGAAAACATACGGTCTTGAGGGAGAGAGGGAGAGGGAGAGAGAGAGAGAGAGAGAGAGAGAGAGAGAGAGAAAGAGAGACAGAATAGAATAGACACAGCGTAACCCTTCATAAAAATTCCAATAGAGCGCCTTCTGACGTTTTTCCGTCATCCGCGGTCGAAGGCCGCGCAATTAAATTTCTTTTGTTGTTGCCAGCGTTTCTTCCGCGCGACGCCGGAGGATTCGATTTCGCGCCGGCGATCGAATCGCGCGCGCGCGCAGGATTATTCGCGTGTAACGTGAACGTACAAAACTGCGGGACAGAATTTATGCACGCGAGCGAATGTACGAATATACGCGGAAGCGGAATCCGATCGTGAATAAGTTAACGTATTAACGTTACATATGCGGCGGGGTGTGCCGTCGTCACCAGCACAGCAGCAGCAGAAGCAGCAGCACGCGCGAGCGCGGTGTCTTCTTCCCCGCATTTATTTTACGTGGGAAATAAATACGAGCGATCAGGTCGCTCGTTTCATCCAGGAAATCGCTTCCTCTAATAATAGCTTCGCAGCCGCCGCGGCGGCACCATTATAAGATCCAGCTACTTTTATCATCGTACATCGTAGACGCGTCTACCATACATGTATCTCTTTCTCTCTCTCTCTCTCTCTCTCTCTCTCTCTCTCTCTCTTTCTCTTTCTGTCGAAAAGAACGAATGTTCTCGCGGTACGTATCGTTTAAAAAATGCATGCATCTCGTCGTTCGCGCCCGCCATGCGTTACCCTCACGCGGCCGGAAATTCCAAACGACGGGCGCGATAAAAGACCTGCAGAAACTAATTTTGCTCGCTCGAGTTATTTTTATTAAATCGAACACGATGAAATTCTCCGATGAATCACGCGACTGAATAAAAGATGAATCCCGTGGAACGACTGAGAGTGTGAGGAAAAGAGGCAGACGGTGATTGTGTGTGTGTGTGTGTGTGTGTGTGAGAGAGAGAGGAAGGAAGAGAGCAGAAGGAACAAGTGCCCGGGGTAAAAAGGATTGGGGAAGAAAATGTCGATATTAATAAAAGTTAAATTGAGCCAATCGCTTGTGGGAATTAGAATCGAGTCCACTCGAGACGAACGGCCAGCCGTAGAGAGGGGAAAAAACGCAATAAAAACGCGCAACGCGGCAGCTGAAGCGTCTGCCTCTCGAATGCCGATCGATCGGAGCGATTAAACGATCGAGAGGCTACTCGGTAGCGCTGCGTTATTATTATGCGGGTGGAGATCGGCTGGCGCTTAAATAATCGGATTTTCAAGCAAATTTCTTAAAGCGCCGTAAACGCTTTAAAGGCGCCCTGGCTAAATGCTTTAAACAACAACGCTCGCGTGCGCGTACGAAATACTTTGCGCGTTAAGCGCCTCCAATTTACGCACTCGTCGAGACGCCGACGTGCCTTCCCGTGGTCCCCGCGGGTGCGGAGAAAAATGCCGGTGTGTTCTTCTTCGATGTAGATGTAGAAACCTGTTGCATGTGCCGGTGGCGGAAAAAAAAATAACGGGAAAAAGAGCCGGGAGTCAGTGACCAGCCGATTCACTTCCTAAGCGCGTTTTTCCACATAGCTTTTGCCTTTTAAGAGCGAGCGCGCGCGCGCGCGCGCGAGGAAACGAGAGTCGTACTTGGCGAGCTGACAAACGAGTCGTTAATGACGTTTCAATCTCTTCATCAATCTTCGTCGTCACAGTCCGCGGGGACGCGGTTAATATTGAATGTACGATACGTCGGGAGAATGATACTTACTCTTTACACGCCAATCAAAAGTAAACGGTATGTAAGCGGCTTTGGGGAAGACGAATGCTTTACACGCGATTACGAATAATAGTAATAATGAGGAAGCGCCATGCGCTGGCTGTACGCTATAAATACGACGTCTAAATACGATAAACGCGCGCTACGATAAACGTCGCTCGTTCGCGACGATATTTCAAGTTCTGATTAATCCACGCCGCGATCGTTTCACGCGCGCGCGCGCGTTTAACAAGACGCGAGACGTCCGACTCCTAGTCTCTCTCGCGAGCCGTCGCAAGCGAGACGTCATCGAGCACCTCGTCTCGGGTCGACGAAATCCCGAAACCGCGGACGAGATTCGCTCGCGACGGGAAAATGCGTGGCCGCGTGGCCGCGCACGAGCGGCCAGCAGAGCGAGCGCCGGCTTTCCCGATCGCGGGAGCGTGTTGCAGGTAGTACGCGAGCGGCCATTACGTGCCCCCGCCGCACAGTAGACCGTAACACAATTTACGTACACGTACACGCTCGTACGCGGCGCACAGCCGCACGAAATTCTAATGCCGCCTTACGGTATCTGATCGCAGGTGAACGACCGTACAAGTGCCATTTACCGGACTGCGGGCGGGCCTTCATCCAACTGTCGAATTTGCAGCAGCACCTGAGGAATCACGACGCTCAGGTGGAGCGGGCGAAGAACCGGCCGTTCCACTGCAACATCTGCGGCAAGGGCTTCGCCACGGAGTCCAGCCTCCGTACTCACACGTCGAAGGTCAGTCATGTATGTACCAAATCCGACGTCCAACTCGCAATTCGCTGTGATGCGCGGTGCCGGTATAACCAGAGAGAGGGAGAGTGGTATCTCTCGCGGGTTTGTCGCGAAGAAAATCAATGAAAAGAGAAATGGGAAAAAGAAAAGACGGAGAAAAAAAAGGAAAGATAAAAAAAAAAAGAAAAAATAAAAAACAGCCGAGGAAGAGAAAGAAAATGAACGGATCGATTCTCAAGTATTCTCGCGCTTTTCTCGCTCGCATTTTCTCGTACTTCGCACATTACTTGAGAGATAACCTCGGGCGCGCGTACGTGTTGCCGTGTCTACTACCGCTCTGTGATCGCTCTCCTCTAACCGACCGAAGTATATACACGTCTGTATTAACTCTTTCTCGCGCGACACGTTCAGTTTGATATTATCGTATGCACGCACGCACATGGTGGTGGGTTCACGCTTGCCTCGATACTTTGTACAGATGGATTCCCGTTTCGAACGCTCTTTGTCCGCCGTTTCCTTTGTGTTCCGTTTCGAGGGCTCCCTGCGCGTAATCGATGTGTGTCTCGAGCTCCAAGTTTAAACAGTCGGTCGCTGGAGACGACGCGGTGGCGAGCGCGTCCGGCGTGTGACGAGCGCTTTTAAACGCCGCGCCGCGCCGCACTCGCGACGTCGCGAGCTCGCGAGCGGAAATTTCGGATCCCGATACACGCGCGCAATCTTCCGATATACCTGCGAGCAATCGCAGGCCGCGCGATCCTCGTAGATCTCTCTCGTAGATAGCGTATTCATCCTCCTCGTGTAAAAAACAATGCATCGAGGGTGGCTTTGGATAATTTCCCGCGGGGTCCTTCGGGGTGCTTGGGCTTGCTTTCGCCTCTGGATTCTCACATACGACGCTTATCGACACGAAATCGACGATTAGACGAACGACGTTCAACCGATCCGGAGGGACAAAACGGACTCGTCTCTCGTGAGGGAGAAAGAGAGAAAGAGAGAGGATGAGAGAGACAGAGACAGAGACAGAGACAGAGAGAGAGAGAGAGAGAGAGAGAGAGAGAGAGAGAGAGAGAGAGAGAGAGAGACAGAAGAAGAAGAAGACAGAGAAGGAAGAAAGAACGAAGGCGCAATTTCCCGACCGAAAACGAGACCGCCCGAGAACGAGAAAAAGCACGATGACGAGTCGAACAATCCGACCTCGTTCACGGGCGAAACTCGACGGACGAAAACGTCACGATGAGGGTGACGAGCCCTTTGATATCACGGCGCGACGCGGACCGGAGGATTTTCTCATACGAACAATCGTTGTTTACACACACATACATAAACACACGCTCACGGTGGCGGCTTCGTCGAGGCTGCGTGCGTGCCGTCGGCCGGTTATTAGAGGGACACAAGTGAAAAAACGCCGTCTGATCTGGGAAAAAGAGCGCGACCCCCGTGGCCGTTAATCGAATTCACCCCTCGCGTGGAATCGCGGCGGCGCGGCGCGCGGCGATTACCGGCGGAATCTTGTACCGTGGGGCAGTTTTTTGCCGCCGAGGCCGCCCCACCCAGCCGGCAACTGAATTTCTCAACCCTTTCGCCGCGCCGGGCACATGTCTCGGCGAAAAAACGTGGGAAGGCATCTGTCGGCCCGTCCGCGCGTCGCGCTCTTTTACTCTTCTTCGTTCCTCTCTCCTCCGTCGTCGCGCCTCTTCTACCACCATCTTTTCTTCCTCCACTTCCTCCTCCTCCTCCTCCTCCTCCTCCTCCTCCTCCTCCTTCTCCTCCTTCTCCTCTCTCCTCCTCGTCCCGCTGCACTCTTTCTCTTCTATCTCCTCTTTCCGCTTTTTCCCCGGCGCGTTAAGTCGTCCGCGCTTTTTGCAATTTCCAATTACACCGACCGCATTACGTAACAGTCCGCGTAAAACAACATTTCCGCTAATGGATCCGCCGTAACCGCGAAACAAATGGCGACGTTGCGTCTCGTGCGAGTCGAAACAAGTCGAATGCCGGCAGAAGAGACAGATCGCCGATACACAACCGATCGTCGTCGTCGTCGTCGTTTTCTCTGTTTTTTTTTGTTTTCCAGGACGCGAGCTAGCGTTCGCGCGAGTCGCGGAATCAGGTGCGTCGGGATGTCGGGGGCCTACGCGAACATAATCCGTTCACACGTCGGCTGCGCCGGCAATAAATATCGCTCTTTTAACGCCCCGCTCATCGGCCCGCTCTAATTGAAACCTAATCCACGGCTAAAGCTTTCAGATTATCCCCCTCCGGCCCCCGCACGACCTCGATAAATCTACCGTAAAGTCGTGCCGACGACCCTTTGCCTTACGAGCAGACCCGCCGAGCAAACCCGACCATTTTTTCCACCCTCGCCCCGTACATAAACGCGCGCAGTTAGGGAAGACTGAATGAACACTGACGTGACATGACGGCCCTGTTACTGCTGAATTTTTTTTCCCTCTCTGCGCGCCGCAACGCGTAATCCTCGCGATAATGAGAATGCTTTTTGCAGTCGAGTTATTAACCCGCCTCGCGTTTGGTGTAACGGACAGCCTCGATCGGCTCGCCAGCGGTAGGGATCGATCGCCCTTTGCAAAACGATAGCTGGCTTACAAGCGCGCGTGATCAGCGCGCCGGATTAAAAACTCGCGCGAAATATGCGCCCGCGAAATCGCGCGGATATATACGGTACTCGTGCGAATGGCTGCGAGAACGGCCACGTTGTTCAGGTTTATCGGTAAAAATATCACATAGTTTGCGCTAAATGGGAAAAAGAAACGCGATACAGAGAGAGAGAGAGAGAGAGAGAGAGAGAGAGAGAGAGAGAGAGAGAGAGAGAGAACGCAACGAGAAGAAACGGCGAAAGACGTGGAAGGAGGAGAAGAACGGCCGAGAGCGGAGAACGAAGAGAGGATCTTACGGAGAGCGCGGCGAAGTAATTAAAAGCCGCCAGCGCGCGAGAGAGGGAGAGGAAGAGAAAGAGAGCGGCCGGCGACAGAAACAGAGTATACGCCCGCTGGAAATAAAACGAAACGAAACAAATGGAGAGCTCGAGCCCATCTTCCGCGGCTAATCGAATTTTCGCCGGGGCAGATTTCTTGAAATTGTTTTCGCTATTTCCGACCGCCTAGCCCGTCTCTCTCTCTCTCGCGCCGGCTACTACCCTGATAGCTAATGGATCGTTGTTTAAGAAAAAAAAATCGAGGGAGAAGAGGAGGATGAGCGACAGAAGGAGAAAAGAAGCGTACGGAACGCGTGCGAAAACGCGAGAGGAAGAGAGAAAGAAAGTTAAAGAGAGAGAGAGAGAGAGAGAGAGAGAAAGAGAGAGGGAGAGAGAGAGAGGGAGAAAGAGAGCGTGCGAAACGCGGAGAAAGCGAGACGAAGAAAGAGGAACGACTCACGGAAGTATAGCGGAGAGTAAGGGGAAATGAAAGAGTTACGCTCCGGGTCGAGGCCTGGCGTGTCGGCGAAACATTATCCCGCTAAGAAAGACAATACACCCGGAGTACAATATTATAATAGGCCGGAGCGTAAATGTATTATAGAGAACGATCGGTAGCCCGGGCATAGAAACTCGTCTATGGTCTACCTCCACACACGTACACACACACATAGACCTCTTCTCTCCACATGTATCCTATTAACTGTTACCCTCTTCTCGGGCTCTCGGAACAGGGGCGGATCATCACGACGATACACCGTCGCGATATGTCCTCGGTTAATACGCCCACGCTCCTGAATCCCGGCACAACCGAGCCACCGGCAGGTTCGTCTCTCCACGTCGAAATTTCCTTCTCGCTAATCGACCTATCGAATCTCTCCCTCGCGTTTCATCCCCATACGACCGGGACTCTCCTCTTTTATCTATATCGCGAGATTCCGTCTCGGGGCTGCGTAGACCGCGATACGATCGAGATATGTCCCAAAGAGAGAGAGAGAGAGAGAGAGAGAGAGAGAGAGAGAGAGGAGAGAGAGAGAGGAGAGGGAGAGAGGAGAGAGAGAGAGAGAACCGCGAATCTCATCGACCGTAATTTCAAAGGGGTAGCAACGCGTTATTCTGATCGTCGGTGTAAATTCGCGAATTCGACCGGCCCTGATTTCTCTTCCGCCCTCTTCCTTCCTTTCTCTGTCTTTGTTTGTATGTCTCTCTCTCTCTCTCTCTCTCTCTCTCTCTCTCTCTCTCTCACTTTCACCCTCCCTACCCTCTTGCGTCTTGGCCACTTTCACGTGACGCGCAGCCTTCATATTTATCCGTAGTTTAGCGGTACAAGGGTTGAATGTCGTGCAACACGATACAACCCCCTTTTCTCTTTCTCTCTCTCTCTCTCTCTCTCTCTCTCTCTCTCTCTCTCTCTCTCTCTCTCTCTCTCCCCCTCTTCGGTCTCGCGCGGACCTTCCTCGCGTAATACCTTTCGACCTTCTTCCAACTCACCTCCGGGGTCTTCCCATCATCCCTTCGCTCCGTCCGGGTCCTCCCCTCACCCAACCTCCCACCCCCTTTCTTAATTGCCCCGGCGCGCGGCTCGGTAAAAACTCGTTAGCCATTAGATTTATTTTCTCTCGCCACGGGGATTCATCCCTCTCCTCCCTCCTCCGCCTGTACTAAAATCCGCGCGGTGGTTGTACACTTCTCGCTTAGCGGCATTTTCTCTCCGATGTTTTAAATTTTCTTATTTCCTCTGTCTGGGCGCGCGTGCGCGTGATCGCTGCCATTCGCCGCTTACGAATTGATGGCCGGTGATAAATGTAAATCTAGTTTATTCGGGAAGATCGGCGGGAAGGTTGACGGGCTCGCCGGCGACGCTTATCGCTCGCGTATTTTTGCCAACACGGAGTGCTAATTAATTACCGCGCACGCGGTATTTACACGCGGTGTTTTTTCAATTCCTTCCGCGAGAGCGTGCACGCACGGTCGCGATGTGAATACTCCTGAAAATCTAAACCCATGACTGACGATTTAATGGTATCGCATTAATTCAGATTGATCTCCATTTCATGCTGGTCTCTTTGTCGCAGTGTTCGAAGTACCCATGGCAACGATTAAAGGTAAAACGATCGGGTCAATATGGGAGAGCCCATGGGAATTCCTTTCGGCTGTAATTTCAACTCGTTTCGCCGCGTTTACGTGCGCACTTGACGCACGTGCAAAATTGTGGTCTCCGATTTTCATTATCATGATCCATTCATGCGAGACGCACATATATTCACAACACACACACACACACACACACACATATACATCCACGAAATGCACACACATACGTCACTGTAACGCAGTTTCCGCGGAATGCGTGAAATCACAAATAGCATTGTAGCACGACATTGTAATATCGCCTCGCGGTTGCTTTTTTTAAATTATTTTTGTCCTTCTCGTACGCCCGACACGCGTTGCATATTTAATTAGCAACGTCGCACCGGCGTCAAATCGCGCACAGCACGGGACACGCGACTCACCGCCTGTCCGATCGTACGTGGCGAAGATTGTGAAACGATTATAATCCGGCTCTTGTTCCTTTTTCTCTCTCCCTGCAGTCCTCACCGTCGTCATCGTGAATACGCATCGATATTGTCTCACGTCGCGCAAATCGTGATTGCGGCAATCACTGAGACGAGCACGATGACGTATCGCCCAAGAGTCATACCAGCGTGCGCTTTCGTCCGTCAATCGTGGCTAATTACCGCTTCTTAATTTCTACCCGTTCTTCTAATTAAGCAAGGTTCGCTCCCTGCTCTCTCCTCCTCTCTTCTCACCACTTTCCCTTCTTTCCTCGTACAACCTCGGCATAAGCCGAATCCCTCTCTCGGATTTCTCCTATGGCCTCGTCTCTCTTTTCTGTCCCTCATTCTCTCTCTCTCTCTCTCTCTCTCTCTCTCTCTCTCTCTCTCTCTCTCTCTCTCTCTCTCTCTCACATTCACTCTCTTTCTCGGTCGGTAAACATCGCTGACTGGCGAATCTCCAGAAAGACCTCGCTCTTTGTCTCTTTTGCGGCATTAAAATAGAAAAGTGGGACGGCCTTTCGTGGCAGAACGCCTCGTAAATCGGCTGGCTCTTACGAGAGCGTCTCACAAGTTTTTCGCCGTCCGGTCCCTTTCGCGGCGACGATTTTCGCGTCTATTTCGGTTCTACTCGCGCCCGACTCGTACCACGACGCCGGACGGTGAAGAGTTCAACGTGCGATTTTTCATCTTCCCTGTCGCTGCTAACCCCTTGAGAGATTGTTACATCTTACAGTACGTTCGTTACTTTCACGTCTTCACTCTGTCGACCACCCTTACATCCTAAAGCCCATACATTTTCAAGGACTGCACACAACGATGTATTCTCCTCCGAGTCTTCAACTTGACGAGTCCATTTTCCGATCGCACCCCTCAAAAGCGCGCTGCCTCTCTCTCTCTCTCTCTCTCTCTCTCTCTCTCTCTCTCTCTCTCACCCCCGAGGCATTAATTTTTTCGACCCCGCCTCCGGTGTAGCTCCGTGCCTCTCTTTCTCTATTTTTTTTTCCTCTCCAGCGCTCGATCACCAGCGCGGGCACACTAATGAAATCATTCCCGTGGCGTTTCCGATAGGGTGGGATCTGCACCCCATTGTACAACGCCCCCCTCCGCGCTCCTTTTTTCCTCTGGTCTAGTCGGGCGCGACCGGGGTCGATCCGGTTCTCCTATTGGCACAACACGGAGGGTGCCCCGTTGTCAGTCCCTTACGGCGCTAGGTAGATTCGCTTTTTTTTTTCCCTCCTCTCTCGCCGCGCATTCGTCAGCGAGCGATTTTTGCGCGCGCGCGCGCACGCGCGTTCGCGCGTGCGCGGATTAACAGTTCGCGCGAGTCTTACAATTAGAAGCGGATTAATGATACGCGGGATAGGGTGGCGATGAGAGGGACGCGAGTCGAGGGGGTGAGTAACGACGCGTATGAATTCCTATCGATCGCGCGTGTCGCCCGTGTTTCTTTTTCTTTTTTTGTCCACATCTCGAGGGTGAAAACCCGCCGGACGCTTCGCGACGAACAGAGTGGAAGATCGCACGTACGGCTGTACGAATTTCCGAATTACGTTGTGTCGGACGCGAAAAGAATCTCTGCCCGAACGAGAGAGCAAAAATCTACGATCTCTCCGGAGGTATCTCCGATGTCTTTTAGACATCCTTTGGACTTTTGCGTTGTTTGCGCACTCCACGGCGCTCGTCCGAAAGCTGCGAAAGCGGCGAGAGCTATGAGTCAGACACGCGGACGTAGAGAAAAGGAATCAGGAATTTCTGGTGCCTTCCTTATCGGGAGACAAAGCGTTCTCGTCTCGAGAAAATAACGTTCGCGCGAGCGAGCCGAAGCGAGGTGGAGAACGAGCGCGCGCGCGCGCGGGAGAGAGAGAGAGAGAGAGAGAGAGAAGGACAAGATGAGCAAGCCGGCGAATATCTCTCGCGGATTCCGCGAGCCCCTCGTTGGAGCAACGAACAGCCCAAGTATCGTACGAAGGTTGTCTGCCGAGAGAGGCGAGTCTCGCGGCCTCGTCGCGGCTAAAAAAGCCAAGGAAAGACGACGGCGGCGCGAGAAGAAAAAAAGGAAGGAAGGAAAGAACCAACAACTCGGGCGGGAGAGAAAAGAATTGCGCGCGCCCAACCGGCCTTCGTACTTTATCGTCGCCCGAGGGGAGGAGAGGAGTCCACGCGCATTGATTATCGAGCATTACATTTGTCAATTGTGTTTCCTACACGCGAGTGCGAAGAGGGGGAGATTGGAAGAGATCGACGAGAGCCCTGGAGAAAGAGGAACGAACGGAACTCATCGCGAAACGAACTCGCGCGACATTACCGAGGCGCGTTCCAACGTCACGAGTCGAGAATGACATCGCGCGCGCGTGTGTGTGTGTGTGTATGTGTGTGTGTGAGGACGAACAAAAGGAAGGAGAAGGAAAGAAAGAAAGAAAGAAGGAATGAAAGAAAGAAAGAAAGGAGGAAAGACGAGCAGCAATATCCCGTCGCGATTGGTTCTAATAAGATCGCCCGGCTAACGAGATCTCGGGCCTCGATCAAAGATGGTCCCGTCTCTATGAACACAAAATGGCCACGTCGTAGCCGACGTCACGCACCGCTACACGTGTGCTCACACCCACTTCCTTTTTACGCCACTCCCTGACCCGGGCCCGCGCCGGGCCTCGAGGAGCGGGCAATCTGCGATCGGGCATCGACGGAAAAATCCGGAGGAACCAATCGGCGAGGGGGTGCGAAAAAATCCCGGAGCCGGACGCGATGAGATCGCGCCACGGCCAGGTGTCTGGCCGGGCCTCTGATCCGACCCTCTCCGATCACGGGTCACGATAGAAACGCGAAGAATCCGAACGGGTACGTCGTTATCGTCGCGCGCTGATCGCCGTGCACTACGTGCGGCCGCGGCTAAAATCGCACGGCGTCTAGCGGTTATTTACAGCGCGGCGTTAAAAATACCGTCGTCACACCGGACGTAGACGTAGCCGTAGCCGTAGCCGTAGCCGTAGCCGGCCGTTATATTCGCCCCGGTGTTATCCAGCTGTCCGCGGCAACGTTTTCGCAATATCGATCGCGCGCGCATCGTGACGCGCGTATACGGCCGCTGCAAATTTATTTAGTTCGCCGAGAGACAATCGACGTCACACATCGCTGACGGATCGCTTCGGTTAATTTCGACACGTCGCCGCACGACGTTCTTGCGCGACGCACATCAGTCGGTCGGCCGGTTCGATTATTCCTTGCGCCATTCGCGTCGAAAATGAACGAATCGAAGGTTCCTCCCACCGCGGCCACCGCTTCGCGGCCGACGCAAGTCGAGAGAGAGAGAGAGAGAGAGAGAGAGAGAGAGAGAGAGAGAGAGAGAGAGTGAGTGTTTCTGAGTTTGAAAGAGCGGGAACAAAGAACGCATGCAGAACCGATCTCTCGCCGGCGGAATCGCACTCTTCTTTCTCTCTCTCTCTCTCTCTTTCTCCCTAGCACCGAGGATCGCATCCTCTCCCGCCGTTTCTCGCCGCGTATCTACACGGGCTATGCCCTGCGACGCGGGACAGAGAAACCGGCGGCTCCGGCAGATACACGTAGACCCTCTTAGCGGGACCAGGAAGTATGGAATTGGGAATGGTAGCGAGAGCGGCGTGCAGCCGCGCGCGCGTACAGCCTCTCGCGCGAGGAGAGATGAATCTAGTCACGGCGGATCATAAAGTCCCTCGGGGATTCGCCCACGCCGCGTCCACTCTCTCGACCGAGCCGGGGAGAGAGCGGGCCGGCGAGAAAGAGAGACGGAGAGAGGGAGAGAGAG